ATATCTCTATGTAAAGAGGCCAATGCAGCGGCGCTTTATTCCTTTGGTCCGTCCAGCTCTGTCACCTAATACCACCGTCAACGTCAATGAACTCATCTCATAGATCTCTAACTAGCCGAGCTGCTGCTGTAAATCAGAGTAATTGCACTGTATAGTTGCATTGCATTCTGGGACTGGGGAGAGTTTGTTGTCTCCCATACTTCTATGCTGGATTTCTCATTAATATGACTTTGAACATCACTGGAAAATAGTGAGTGAGAAAAACAAAAGAGCAACAGAAAGAGCTCGTTCTTTTAGGAGCTAACGGCGAAACCTGATCGTTATCCCTTTTGTTTGAGATTGTGGATTTTTTTTCCCTCCGATTAACCTTTTACATTAAATTTTTTTCTCCTATTAATTATCTCCACTGTAACTGTGCTAGCAATAACAATGTCCCCCGTGACACCAGTGCAACACAAAACCGCTACCTTCTCGCAGGAATAACGAAAATACAGCACCAGCCAACAAATTAGCACCAGAAGCTAAGCTAAGCACATCACAAATACATTAATATAAACATATTTAATAATAATAATTTAATATAAACTTTCTTTCACCTCATACATTTGAAGAAAAAGCCCTACTTTACTCACTCCATTTTCAAACACTACATTTCTCTGAAATCATATGTTTGTAGTCATACAGTGACTTTTTAGCATTTTGCTTCAAGAAGTCACTCTAAATTCCTAACAAATCTAAACTTTAACAGATGTGACGGCAAGAACGAGACCATCGCTGTACTCTATCTGCTGGTGTGTACACCTTGTTTATCAACAACTAGCTATTAGAATTCGGCTAGTTTGTATTGTATTGTTATTAGCATGCTAGCTAATATTTGAGAGCTTAGGGATAAAGCTGTTAGTTAGCCTTGGTGAAAGAGGCATTAATTTACTACGAGTAACTAAAATCAGTGTGTGATTTGAAACTGAGGCAGACGAGTTTATACTTTTTTACTTCAACTTCAGCGAAAAAAAAACTGAAGCTGTAGCACAACTTTTACCCCAGAATTCATTTCGATGAGTAATTGTACTTTTAATTAAGGAAAGAATTTGGCCAAGTCAGCTTCTCTAAACGATCTCTCCTGCGTGCCATGGTGAATTAATCAGATTTAATCCTCTGTCAGAATTTTTGTTTTGCACAGTTGACCTAATATAGAGTACATTTAAGAAAGAGGTCCTGAGTAATGTTTCATTCTCATAAACACACTCGTTTCTCACGTATGTCAGAGGTTATCGTATTATACACAGCCTGAACCTTTCATTACAGTGACAAAATCCCCCAACAAGTCCTGTCTCTTTTTCCTCCCCATGTGTCTCCCCCCCTTTCTCTCTCTCTCCCCCCTTCTCTCTCTCTCTCTCTCTTTCAGCTCATTGACATGCCTGAATGCCAACAGTTTGAGACGGCACAGAGGGAAAAAAAACTGCAGCTTGCAACTTGTGTGCGGTATTTTCATAAACTCAGCAGTGACCGTATTATTCTTTAAACATCCCCAGCTGTTCCCTGCTCACAGATATGGTGACTCATAAAGGTGGTCTTTTATTATTGCTCCCGGTGTGTGTGTCTGTGTGTGTGTGTGTGTGTGTGCATCTTGGAATGAAGGGTGAATGCTTACTGCGGGTTGCAGTATATCCCATTGCAGGGGGAACACATGTGCAGCGGTATAATAGGATTAAATGCAATTCGACTCCTGTAAAGCTTCGTTGGCACATTCTCACTCCCTCGCTCTGCCTTGACTGACTTTCACTCGTACACTGCACCTGTGGTTGCGCTCACACACTGATTTTTATGAGGCTCAGTTTCCGAAAAAACCTGTAACGCCCTCATTAATTGCTTCTGTATGGTGACCTGATGTTCAACTCACTAATCTGATCAATCAGCAGAACTGCAGGACCTTTCAATCCGAAACGCTAACACACGCACAGTTCTTGTGTCTCACCTTTTTAAGATGGCCCGTACGCGTTCCCACGAACACCACCGTATGATCTCCGTAGGTGTACGCAGCCACTGAGGCCATGCCGTCCATCCGCTCGTCGTATAACGGCGCACCCTCGATGACCCGCAGCCCGCCGAGAGGCTGGTTCAGGACCAGGCCGCAAAAATCATCACCGATCTGCTTTGGCTGGAGAGGAGAAATAAGAGCAGTCAGACTTACAGTTGGTAAAATAGGACATAAGCAGGCAGTTACACTACATCGCTGTTGAATTCTCGAATATGATTTCCTATAACAGCAGCTCTGACAGTAATCCCAACTATAATTTAAATCTGTGTTTTTATTTAACAAAGAAGCACTAATAATCGTTCAGGGCAAAGGTTTCTGTAAGGAGACGTTTATTTAACATTTAAGGAAGGAGTCTCCAGTGTCAGGATTTTGCACCTTTGCAATTTTTTTTTTATTTATTACCTTCAAAAGAAGCCAGTGAGGGAATGTTTATAGCTTCTATAGCTTCTATAACATAACAGATAACTAACTTGTTTCATGGACGTTTTTTAATAAATAAAAAATGTAATCATTGAGAGTTGCTGTGGTATAAAAGGAGAAACAGGTCAGGATGGTAACGTTGTTGATTATTTTCCTATAACAGCACGTCCTGGGATGTTTTATTCCTTTCTTAGCAACACGGTTCTCAGCTTGGTGCATTTCGTTTTTTTATGTAAACAACATGTATATACAATTAGGCATTTAATTGTAATTCTTTTGAGCAAAAAGTAATTATTACAATTATAAGATGAAGCAAATTACTAGCAGCCCGAGTAGAAAATAATAATTAATCTGACCTCGGGTTGTTATCATGGCCTGTGCTGCCAAGCCGAACCCTTATGTTCTATTCAGGAAAGGATTAGTCATTAATCATATTTACAAAAAGGAAGGAAATAGTAAAAATACTAAACAAAAAAACAAAATCCATTTCCCCATGTGGACCTTTATGTGCTTGGCTCAAATTCATTAATTACAGCAAAAAAATGAAAAAAAAAAAAATAAATAATGACATTTATATTACTGAGATACGAGTTCAGGTAATTGTGTTCTGAGAGTGACAAGGTGATTTTACTTGCTGTCACTTCTCCTCATGTCTTATTTACACTCTCACCTACACACACACCAACACCCACACACCCCTACTTATACATACGCCATCAAAATGAGCAAATATTGTTTATGGTACCAATAAGAGAGATGAAACCATGGTAAACTGAGCAAAATAAATGTTACGCTTATTGCAACAAAATGAAAAGAGGGTGAGTCGTGGCCAATAGGAGTTCCTTTGATAAGTAGTGAACACAACCATGGCTGTAACTAGCGATGAGGACAGAGGTCTGGATTTTGTTACTTTTAGGAGGTTTGGGGTTTTTTTTTGCATCTGTAGATGTCAGATTCAATATGGGAACAGCAATATGGTGGCAGGAGGTCACTTACTATGTGAAAAAACAGGGATAATTGCTTGAGGGGGTGTGCCTATTATGTTTAGCTCTCATGAGATGCTACGCTTCTTGTAGAGAGGTAAGCAATGCTAAGCTGACATACAAACGTAAGTGTTTATGGCACCAAATGTGGACCTCACTAATATTTTGATCCTGGTTACGGCCCTGAACACAGCATGATGGTTAAGCAATAGATACAGAAATGGGGCGAGAGGAGAGAAGCCCCGTCAGTAAGAGGCACAGAAGTGAGCGCTTTGGGATTATACACATCACTGGCTGACACACACACACACACACACACACACACACACACACACCCAACAGACATGACATCATCCAGCTCTGTGCCTCACTCTGCGTGAGGATTTCATCACTCTGGATGTGGCCTTTCTGGTGAAAAAAAAACCTGGGTTCATCTAAAGCCACTGTCTGTAATGGGCTCTGGCTGTGACATGGAGGAACGACACAAGCAGTTCGGGAAGACTTATTTGAAAATCAATTGCGTTAGCGAACATCTGCAGGATGGGCTAATGATGATGTCATCGAGCGCCGACCCACTCTCGAGCTGCTCCGGTGAACTATCGACTCCCTTCGTACGTTTAAGCCTCCCTCGGCTCTCTCCATCTCTTTCTGTCCTATCCACCAAGGTCTTGTATCTCACATACACACTTACGTTTGTCTTACTATCCTTGCGAGGACCTTCTGCTGACATAATTACGTACTTAATGCTATACCTACACCTAAATCTAGCCCCAACCTTAACGTCAGGAACCAAAATGAAACCTTTTGGCTCTTAGTTTTTTAAATAAAAGCTGCAGTTTTTTAAGCTGTTTTTCTTGTGGGGACCAGGCAAATGTCCCCATAAGGACAAAACTGTCAGATATTCCTTTCCTTATGAGGAAAATTGGCTTGTCCCAACGAGGAAAACCTTTTTTTAGGTACAAAACCTGCAGCTTGTTTTTAGTGGGGACCAAGAAGACAAATGTCCCCACAATGTCAAAACAGTCAGCTATTCCTATCTTTCTGGGGACATCTGGCTAGTCCCCCAAGGAAAACTGCCTTGTCACAGAAACTGGAGCTTTTATTTAAAAAGAGCCAAATGGTTTGTATGTTTAGGCATGTTTTCAGATCTTAGTGGGGTCCAACAAGACAAATATCCTTACAAGGTCAAAAATGTCAGATATTCCTAACTTCTGCGGTGACACCGGTCCCCACAAGGAAAACTGCTTTAAAAAACTGCTTTTATTTAAAAACCTAAAAGAGCCAAAACGATTGTGTCTGCATGTGTGTGTTTATAGCTATCTTAGTGAGGACCAACAAGACAAATGTCTGCACAAGGTCAAAAAATGTTAAACATTCATATCTTATGTGGACCAGTCAGATTTCTTTTAAAACAAATCTGCATCTTTTATTTTTTTTGTTTGTGTTGGCATGTTTTTATATCTTAGTGGGGACCAGCACGATGAATGTCCCCAATAGGTCAAAACTAGCAAACAGTCCCATCTTTCTGGGAACAATTGACTGGTCCCCACAAGGAAAGGGAAGTGGTAGCTGAGTGGTTAAGGCGTTGGACTCCTGATCGGAAGATTAAGAGTTCAAATGCTGCCACTGCTGGGCCCCTGAGCAAGGCCCTTAACCCTTAACTGCTCAGTTGTATGAATGAGATAATTGTAAGTTGCCCTGGATAAGGGCATCTGCCAAATGAAAACTGCTTTTAAACTAAAAGACTGTGCGTGCATATTGTTTTTATATCTTAGTGGGGTGTAACATGAAAAATTTGCTCAAGGTCAAAAAGATATTCATATCCTTTTGGGGTCCCCACTTAGATAGAGAAACATATGCGCAAGTGCGCACACAAACACACACACACACACACACACACACACAGCTAAGCACTGAGGTCAGCCTGCCCTCCTGATGACATCACCTCCTCTAATACACTAATAACCTGCCAGCATTTTATCCCCAGGTGTTTTATTTAAAGCCCCACTCCCTCGATTCAGTTCGATAATTCACAGGCTATGATTTCGATTATCTATTACACTCATCCTTGAAGGTGACACAGCACTTTTTTCTACAGTAGCTTTTCATTTCTTTTTCTTTCTCTAAAATGAAGGTTTGTGGTCAGGATTGGTGTAACTGGAGCAGATCCTGGATCAGTAGAAATGGAAACAACCTCTGGTCCTCTGTTGCTGCCTTCGTTCTTTGTTCCAGTGGCCATCTTGGGGATCGTAGGGTGTGTCAGAGGGCTGAGTGTGTGTGAATGTGTGTGTGTGTGTGTGTGTGTTTTTGCAGGGAGGGGCATGCTTACAGGAGCGCCTTGTTTTTTTCCGAATGCTTATGAAGAATAAATGCAGTAAACGAGGCGAGGCCAGGCGGCTGGCACGCACAGCCTCATTATGAGGTGCAGGGTCGCTGCTGCGCATCCGAACGGCCTAATAATACACTAATAATATGTGCATCAGTCATGGGGAACCCTGGAGCTACCTCATAAAAACAAGCACAGCCACTCCTCCATAGAGGAAGCAGGTCATCGTGCTCGCTCTCTCACGCTCTCTCTCGTCCATCTGTTCAGCTCGGCCTTGGAGGTGTTGTGCCATTGTTCTCCGCACAGTATACCGAGCTGCACAAATCATTGTCTCGATCACAATAACAAGCTCTTTGCAGAAAATTTCCCATGACCCGGTTCCAGATTTTGGATCTATATGAGTGTAATACGATTCTGAATAGAAGGAGAAACGCTCGAGGTGGGAGATGTGACAAAACTATCACGATAGCACGTCTGCAGATATACTCATATTAAATTTTATACTTTTACATGCTACTTCCAATGTAACTAAAGTCTTTTTTTTTTTGCAGTATAAAATTTTTGTGACTGTGTCTACTGTGTGTGTGTGTGTGTGTGTGTGTGTGTGTGTGTGTAGTTTCACACGTTCTCCACACTTCTGTGTAGGTTTCCTCTGGGTTCTCTAGTTTCCTCCAACCTTCCAAAAATAACACGCAGTTAGGCGATTGAGCTAATCTAAATTGCACCTAGGTGTAAAAGTGTGTGAACACGATGCGCTGCAATGGACTGGTGTACCGTCCTGAGTGTATTCCCACCTCACGCACGGTGTTCCCGGGATAGGGTCCAGATCCGCCGAGACCCAGACCAGGATAAAGCATTTACCGGACATGAACAAATGACTGAATTAGTGTAATAATGCGCATTTACAACATTAAAAAGCAGCCATCTGTGGCAAGTGAACATGAAAAAATAAGTGCAAAACTATTAACACCTATTACTCAATATGCAAATAGGTTACTGAACAATAACTAATGTACTATAGCAAAAACTGGGCTAATGAATAATACACTACAGTAAAATCAGGTCAAATCCTCATCATCTACAGCAAATGCATTAAACATTAATATGTTCTATTACAAATAATTTATAGGTCAAAGCCTTTGACTGAACTGCGGTACAGTGATTTATTATATACTTATTCATATAGAGTGTACATAATGGTTCATATGCAGAAAGGGCTGAGACATAGTACGCAGTGAACTTAGGAATTGCTAGAGGGACCTATTGTAACTAGAAAGAAGTATTTAGCCTTGGTTTAATGCATGGCTTTGCCTCATGAGTGAATTAAAAAAACAAAAAACTTAAGAAATTCAAATTTAGGACAATTTAATAGTTATGGCCAATAGTTTGACAACTAAAATGTAATTTCAACAGGCATTGGGTATTCTGGATGACATATCCAACATTTAACATCTATTTTAAAAAAAAAAAAAGGAAAAAAAAAAGAAAAGAAAAAACCCCAGAAGAAATAAATATACAAATAAACCAAAAGGACTTTGCATGGAAAAAGAGGAAATGCTAGAACTGCATAATTTCTCAAAGAAATTTCACAGTACTTCAAGTAGTATACAAATTGACAGCGTTGTCAAATTACTGAACGATAAAATCAGAAAAAAAAGTAGACAATACTCGTGTTACTCTCAGAAAAACATGTTGTGACATTTTTAAGACCGTACCATGTTAATACCATACTGAAATGCCACCCAGCCATAAATACTGGTGCTTTCTAAACTGCGAGTTTGGAAAACATATTAGAACTGAGGTTTATGTGAGCAGCTGTTTGCAATATTGCTCAATGAAGTAATATTAAATTTCTCTGAGAAGTCGAGTATAACCAAAGCCAAAATTGCGAGGTCACATCATGTCGTGCCTTTATATTTACTGAAAAGCGTCATGCTGAATGGGATTTGTAGACAGTTAGATGTGGAAGGAATCCAAAGGCAAGCCTCGAGGCAAATAAATAATATAAAGTCATAACCACATCTGTTATTCATCTTTTTTTTCTCTGGCAATTATATGAGAGAAAAAATATTTACACTTTTCGTATCAGCAATGCTCTTTAGAGCTCCTCAGAGGTGTTTATGTGATACCCTCAAATCAAATGGTTCAAATGTCATACCACGTTAAACGTTAGGTATCGCTTTGGCCTAGAAGATAAACTCGCCTTCCTGGCTGTTTATCTTCGACGGACTCTCATCTCGGATTGATTACATCAGATTAAGCCATGTAATGGTGGTCTCTCGTATACACACACACACACACACACACACACACACACACACACACACACAAAAAACCAGATCAGCCTCAGGTCAATGAGTATCAAATCCACAAATTGACCTTTCCCAAAAACAACCAAAGAAACAGGCTAAGCAAATTATTGATGGAGTATTGATTAAACAGAGCAGAGTGATACTGAGGCGTGCTGTAAGCCAGACAAAAATCTACCATTAAAGGAGGATTATAAATAAAATCAACGCAAGGTACACCAACGCACCAAACTTGTAACCAGGGTTGTCAGAACTGCATGTAAAAACAAACAAACAAAAAAAACAGCCCAAACAGTAATAACACAATTTTCCTGAACAGTGAGAAAATGGTCTAGTGTTATTATATATTTCATAAACAAACAATATCTATGTGAATGAATGGGTAGAAAAATAACCCTTACCAGCTACTGCTGGGCGATATGACAAAAAATATATAACGATACCTGAAGACAATATCTACGATACACGATACGTATCAGGATACATATATTTGCTAACCAACTGCCAGAAAACAACAGTGTTGCATTTAGAAAATATTATTATTATTATTAGTATTATTATTATTATTATTATTGTTATTATTATTATTATTATTATTGTAAGTTTAATTATATTTGTCTACAAAACTCTGAAAAAATGAAAAATTAATTTTAAAGATTCCAAACAGTTCAAAATTTCTTACAAGATATCACAATACCTGCGATATTTCACAAAAGTGCATTGTGACATCATTTATCACAATATCAGTATTTTAGCGTCACATTGCCGATCCCTATACCAGCAGTTCAAAAGTAGCCCAATTCTACAGAAAAAAACTACAGATCTACACTTTCAGAAATAAAGGGACCAAAGTGTACTTCTCAAGTGTACCTTTTGTACGTATCTTATAACTGGGAAGGTGTATATAGTGTACCTATGATTAGCTTTTATAGTTTTACAGATACATCAGTGGTCTTTATGTTCCTATGTTCCTATCAAGTACTTTTAGTATTAGCTATTTTTAAAGGTACGAATGATATCCCATTGATGCTAACACCCCAGTGACTAAGAAAAGTACAGTTTGGTACCTTTATTTCTGAGTGCATGGCAACACTGGCTATAAACAAGAACCGAGTGAATCAGCTCCACTAACACAAATCATAACTAACCATTACAAAAGGAAAAAAAACGAGTTAGCATTAAGCGAATCCTGTTAGGATTAAATTAAGCTATCAGCTACAAATAACTAGTGTTGTTTTTTTCCAATAAGATTATACCATTTTGACTGAAAGCAGTAGACAGTAATGGGTCGTACTATCTGTCAATATTAATACATAGTCAATTCCCATCTTGTGACATTAGTGCTATATGGTTTTATCTGGGTTAAGAGCAAACCTTATAATATTAAGATCACAATATGTTCAAATATACAGGTGTCACAACTACTTTTAAAAAATGACAGAAACTGGGTATTCAGGTATTTCAGTTTTCTACAAGAATTACTAAAACAGGCAAATAAAATTAATGTTGCCTCCATTTTAAGCAACATATTCTTGAATAGTTAATAAGAAGGTTTTTATGATTTGATATCTGAAGAAATAAAATCATTTTTACATCATAATTTACATGTCTGCACTTGTCAAATTAAATAACGGAAGGAGAAAAAGCACTCACCGTGTTGATGCAGGGAAGCTCCTTATTGAGCAGCCAAGGCAGAGACAGCCGTCCCTCTCCACGGTAGCAAGACTTGATCCTCTCACGCATGGCCAGGTTGATCTGATGAAGAGTGAACAGACACAGCACAGTCTCACGGGGTGGATTTGCCCGGTTCTTCTGGCCTTGTGAGAACACCACAAAGAGCACATCCTCATCCTCAGACAGCCCCAGAGCTTGAGCAAGTGCTTTGCCTGGACGGTGCTTGTACGCAGCCTGGACCAGGCGGTATTCCACACCATCCTTGGTGCAGCCGAGTGGGAACTCAACGTAAGAGTAGAACTCTGTGTCATTGGAGCACATG